AAAATAATGTCTGCATTACCAGTAATAACACTCCTTTGTGGTATTTTTTTTTTTGTCTTAAGGATGTACCTTACCAGGGATGCCCAGCTAAACACTGTTTTACTACTGAACTCATGAGCCTATACTGATGTAAATAAAGTGAGTGAACAGAGAAGAAGGAAAAGCTTTTCTTTAAGTAGAAAATGAATAAATGTAGAAGAAATTCTAGAATTTGAAAACACCACTTGGCAATTACCACCATAAAAATTGATTCAGGTAAGAATCATCAAAGGGTACTAACTAGTGTTTGAAGAGTGATATTTATATTATCTGAGAAGCTTACTTAAGTAGCTCCCCCAGGGTAAATTACAAAAAGTAAGATAGAAACGTTCTAGAGGAAAAACCTGACCAATACCTACACATAAGTGATAGTATGTTCCCCTGATGGGTCTCCTTAAGAAGACTCAGAGGCAGGGCAGGGTTATTGCTGCCAAAGGACTCAGTGGATCTAATCATGAGGAAATATCTAACCCCAAATAAGGAGCATTTTAGAAAGTAATTGGCTCATATTCTAAGGTTCTTGTTTTGTCCCTATTTCTGTGACTGGCCACAAGGAAGAAGGACGAGAGGCAGAAAGGCTGAGCAAGCGGAGTTTACTGCTCCAGGGCAGCAGCTGAGACAGAGCTCTGAGGGTGGGGTCCGCAGCTACTGCGAGTGCTGTAGGGGAAAGGGTCTCTCATACAGGCTTTAGGTTCAGTTTTAGAAAGCTGACGTGGCGCTGTACACCTGGATGTGAGGCCTGGTTCCGGTCATTGTGCTATTGCCCGGATGTGGTCACACAGGTAGCTGTTGTGTTACTGCCCACATCTGGTCACACTCAACAGTTCTGTTCCAGAGTAAAGAAATTTAAAGAAACTTAATAGCTAAATGCAATAAATGATCTTGGGTTTATTTTTGTTAGAAAATATATTATTAGGACAATGATGAAATTGGAGCAAAGTCTGAAGATTACATGAAATCATTCTTTCAATCAAAAGTCTATGATTTTGTTAGTTGTACTACAGCTATTAAGGAAATTCTTAATTTTTAGGAAATATATAGATGGACAGAGATAGATAAGAGACCCAGAAAAATAAAAAACAAATGCAGAAAAATATTATCATCTGGAGAATCTGAGTGAAGGGTCTCTGGAATTCTTTGTTCTACTCTTGTAAAATTTCTGTAAGTATAAATTTTTTTTTAAAAAGGAAAACCATCCTATTTTAGATTACTTAAAAGATTTCTCCTTGCAGTTATGCTTTCAATTTGTTATAGTGAGGTCAATTTGTTTTAATTAGATTTTGATTTAATTTGGTGCTTTAATTATGTAAATCATTTCCATAGTACCAAAGTCAAAAGTGTAAGGCAAATACCACTCTAAGAGCTCTAGTTTTTATTTCCTCCCCTTGCTTCGAATCTCTCCCTATCACTGGTAACTATCTGTATAAGTTTTTGGTTTGCTCTTCCATTTTCTTAAATAAGAAAATGCATATAAATGTTCTGAATTGTCACATAATAATTTATCTGAGATTTCATATTAGTATCTAGAATTTTCAGGGAGGTTTGCTTTTTTACATTTATTTTTTAAAAAGAGGGATATTTGTGTTGATGGGAAAGATAGTCTGGAGAGGAAAAAAGATGCTGCGGAGAGGGGATGGGAGAAAACACACAAGTGGGAGGAGGGGTTGGCTTAGCAACAGAGAGGAGGGCACCAGATGCCAGCAGATAAGGACGCAGGAAGATGAGGAAGTTCTCTTCTGACCGTTTCTATTTCTAGTTACTTTGAAATAAAAAATCGCCATGAGGTGAAGAGAGGGTGGGTGCTGGCAGTTTGAGAAGGGTGAAGGTGTAAAAACAAGTATCTTTAAAGAATAGATGTGTAGGGCCCTCCCTGGTGGCACAACAGGTTAAAGCACAGCACTATGAAGCTATCAGTAGCACTGAAGCAAGAGTTTGACTTCCGCCAGGGAGCTGACCTATATGGCTCAGCATACCTCTCCTGACCCATCTGCTGCTCCCTCCCTGTTATGTCAGTTGATCCCCCTGTTCAGCTCCCCACTCTGTCTCTAAGGAATCCTTTCACCCCTCCCCAGCCCCGCACCTCTGGCCTGTATCCCAGTTATGTATGCATAAATAATCTTTTTTAAAACAAAGAATAGGAGAATAAATGGACTAAGGCAACGGTTCTCAAACTTCAGCACCAGAATGACATAGATTTGCTGGCCTCCAGCCACAGAGGTTTTGAGTTATAAGGTCCCCGGTGAGGTCAAGAACATGCCTTTTAGTAAGTAACCGAGGGCTATTGATGCTACTAGTCCGGGAGGCATGTTTTGCGAATCACCAGACTAAGGAAATATAGCAGGACTGCTGGCAGCACAGGGGCCCGCTTGAGGTTTGTGGTCATGATTTTGAAGTAAGACCAGTTAGCATGACTATGAGTGGTAGACTTAGATAAAAAAATAGGGTGGGTGACATCAATAATAGATGGCACTAAGCAAGCACATCCATTTTTATTTCTTTTTCATTTTTCTTTTTCAAAATCTATCTTTATATAAGTGGAAAGTTTAAAATTCCAAGAAAGGAGAAAGCAGAAGCATAAGGAGAACAGGATATATATGCACGAACTAAGAACACAGAGACACAAAGTAGAAAGTTTGGAAGGAACAGGAAAAAAGCTTCAATAAAAGGAGAAGTAGAAAAAGCATTATGTCCAAACCTGGTTGCAACTGGATCACCATGACAGCATTAGAATTCTGAAAGGGGATGATTTAGATGGGAAAAAAAGCATAATCCAGAAAAAACATGCTGTATTGGATTTACTATTAACATAATTTTTATTAATTATGTAACATTATTTTTCATATTTGCTTCTTTTTGTACAATATAGTACTTCTCCCTTAGATGTGGCCACGATAGCTCTCCCACCACTCAAGTACCCATTGTCCTCCACCATAGTCCACTGTGCTCTTCTCCCAAGCACCCTCCACCATTTTCCCATCTCCTCTTTTACATTAGATTTAAAAAAAGAAAATGCAAACTGGCAGACAACTCTTTAGACATATTTTAAATGATTATTTATTTATGCATACAGAACTGGGGCACCGGAGGTGAGAGGATTCCCCAGAGACAGAGTAGGGAGCAGAACAGGCTGACTGACGAAGTACACTGCTGAGGGGAACTGGGTGAGACCTCAGGAGAGGTCTGCTGCACCATGTGGGTCACTTCAGGGATGGGGATTAAACTCGCACTGAAGCAGCTATGGCTAGCTCGCAGTGCTGCGCTTTAACGGCTGCGCCACCAGGTAGGGCCCATTTAGACATATTTTAATAGTGCAGTCAGGACTTGAAAAGATATTTGTACAACTATGTTCATCACAGCACTATTCACAATAGCCAGGGGTAGAAGAAACCAAAATGTCCACTGACAGAAGAGGAGAGAAAATGTGGTGTTTATGTACCATGTATTACGCAGTCTTAAAACAGAAAAAACATCTTGTCACATAGATGAACCTCGAGGATGTTCATGCTAAATGAAACAAACCAGTCATAAAAGAACACTGGTGATTCCGCTCAAATGAATGATCTCAAGGTTCAAAATCAAAGTAAAAGGGTGGTTCCCAAGGACAGGGAAATCAGTTTAATGATTGAGGTCTCAGTTTTTCAAGATGAAAAATTTCTAGAGATGTATTGCACATGCAGACTAATCACACCAGACAACATAGTGATCATCTTTCTTTTCAGAGATTCCCTAGGGGAAAATAAGAGATACGTAACATTTTCTATTTTAAAATTTTTATCTAATTATTTTTTACATCATTCTTCATTTTGTGCATTTTTCCATCTCAGTTGTAATCCCCATGGACCTCCCACCACTACTTCACCCGTGTGCCATCACCATAGTCCCGTGCACTCTTCCCACCCCAGTTCTGATCCAATTCACCTGTCTACCCCCATAAAATATCTCTGGTTTATAGTTGTTCATTGTTTTTGTTTTTATTTTATTACCTTTGCTTCTCTCTCTCTTTCCCACCACACCCCCGCCCCCGCCCGGTGAGTGAAGCCATCGTTATTTTTCTTTTCCTTTCTGGCTTATTTCACTGAGCATGATCCCTTCCAGCTCCGTCCATGATTTTATTGTAGTGATTTAAAATTTTTCTGCTCCATGTATCACATTTATAATATGCTAAAAGCTTTGGAGAAGATAATGTTCAGAGAAACGTGTGTGCGCAGAAATAATCAGAATGTTAGATAAAGGGAAATGACATTAAATTGCAGGGCGAGCAGCTAAGGAAGATGGTCAAAACAAAAAATACAGAATTCCTTATTTATTTACTTTAAAATATAAGAGATGTTTCAATTAACTTGGGAACTTATAATGATAAAAAGGCAGAGAACACAATCACAGATCTCATCTAGTCCTAAATTATAAGATTATTTTAGAAAGTAAACCCAAAATCTTAAAGGAATCATTAAAAATACACAAAGACAATGTATGATTCAAATAAAATTTAAAACAAATAAAATATTTCATGTTAGTATGATTCAATAAATTAATGCCCTTTTATGTGACTAACTTAATTTCTAAAATAATTCAGAAAGAAAGCAGAAATTCAATGACTGTACTTTAAAAACATATCATTTCTTAGAAAAAATGGAAAATGCTTATTTCTACTAAAATTTATAAAACTTCCTTATTGGGGGGGGATGAGGAAAAACATTCCAGTTTTCAAGGTGGCTGGTATTCATAAAAAATATAAATAAATTCCTAGAGTTAAGTGCTGATTGAGCTTACAGTTGTTGCAGAGTGGTGGGATTTTTAGAAACATTTCACAAGGAAAAAAGGTTGTTATATTGAAAAAAAAAAGAAAAGGGAAAAATATACTACCACATTCATATGTTAAAAAAAAAAAAAAAAAGAAGAGAGCCCCAAACCAATCGCACCACTCGACCGGATGGAGAAGCCAGTTTACATAGCTCCGTATAGGGAAGCTTGGGGTTCAGCTCCTTTTGCTTCAAGAGAGCCTGCACTTGTGAGTATTCCTTAACTTCAACAATATAAATGATCCTTTATTTCCGTTAAAATGTGATTATCTGAGTACTAAAAGTGAAACCTGTTTCATGGTGACTAACAATACTTGGCTTTTAGAAACCTGAGTAAATGTCCTGATGATAACTCTGCTTTGAGTTCTGACTATATTTCCTTAGTTATTTGAAGTATTTTAGGGCCCTGGAGATATTTAAGTTCATACTATCAATATTGTCACATTGTAAGCTGCATTTTGATTACTGCTGTAAGACTTGCAAATCTAGTGGATTACATTAAAAGTTATTTTCATATGCAACAAATTTTATTTCTAGCGGATTAAAATAATCTATAGTTTATTAACTTTATTTATGCTGTTTCCCTAGTTTCAATGACAGTGTTTCCTTTATTATGTTGTTACTCTTTTATGGTAATTACCAAACTGATTAAATTTTCAGTTTTGTGTTTCAAAAGTAAATCAAGCAAATGTAAGAGATAAAAAAACCAAACACATTTTAGTTAATTCAACCACTCAAATTTTACAAAGTAGTTTTAGACAGATCTTTAAGTTTATAATAAAACCAATGTACTACCAATAGTATTATTTCTAAAGTAACATGATTTCAATTTTCATTCTGTATGCAGCAATTAATGAAATTTTGAAGTATGGCCTGATTGTCATTGCCAAGTCAAACTACAAGCAGTGAAGGTTGCTATGATTGCCAGATAGGTATGTATCTTAACATGGTTACGTGATGGTTCCACAGACATACCTAAACTTCATCTAAAGTTTCTGCTCCTCAAGGTCCCAGTGGGTTCAGCTAACTGTGCTACCTGAGAAATATTGGCAGGGGCAGAGGGATGGTGGTGGTGAATACAACAGCACTAACACAGAGTTGCAAACTTCAGGGTCCGCCAAATAATATTAAAAATCCATTCACCATCCGTTATATCAGAGAACCTTTGTGACCACTTTGATACAGCACACAAGAAATACATAATGTCCACTGGGACACCAAGTGAACTGGGGTTTGTTTCTTGTTTTTACTGGCCATTTTTAACAGACTGAGTAATTTCTAAAACATCAATAGAGGGGATTGCAAACAACAAAACAAGTGATTAACAGATGGTGACAATCAGGAATCAGGTTTAAAATGGACTCAAGCTTGTTAATATGTTGATGAATAACTGGGCCCCAGTCATCTAGCAATGACTCTAACTGATCACTACTATTACTGTTTAAACCAATGCATTGTTTTTGCTTTATTCTCTTTCAACTTAAAAATAAAGCAAAACCAGAAAGTTTACTGGTTGTCTTGTCCAACTATTATTTATTAATTTTATGTGCAGAGTAAGCTTACGCAAACCATTTTCAGGGTATGTGCTCTGTGCTTATGTTTTCTAGAAACATCTTGGTTAAAGTTATCAGGCCTAGAAGTAAATTTGAAAAGATAAGTTCTGGGGTATGTGCTGAACTTTCTGGTGAATGATTCGTGATTGTGTACATGCCGGAGTTACCTATTATAAAGGAGATAGCAAATACAAAGATTAATACCTTTTCCAAAGAAGTAAAGTGAAATGGCCATAATCTCTTCTTAAAATTGTTAAAGTGGAAAATGTTAAAGTAATCAGTCCAAAACACTGCTGACAGAAGTCATCAGGTAATGCTGCTGGTCATATGTGGGCTCTAAAGTCAGACAGATCTGCGTCAAGCCTGAGTACTGCCATTTAAGAGCTGTGTGTCATGTGTAAAGATCACAACCTCTTGATCTCAAAATACTTTTTTGATACCTATCTCACAAGGCTATAGTAAAGGTTATGTAAATGAGTTACTATAATTGTGCTTAAGGAAGTGCCTGGCACACAGGAAATGCTAAATAAATATTGGTGAATGGCTCAGCCATCTAGTTCAAGGTTTCGATTCTGAACATACATTATAATTCCCTGGTTTAAAGGAAAGTATTACCTGCAGCCTGTTCCAGAGCAATTCAATCAGAAGATCTGGGGCTAGAGTCAGATACTCACATCTTTAAAAATTCCTCAAGAAGATTCTAATATGCAGGCACTAATAATCTTTTATTCTACAAAGTATTCATTTGGTGGTAGTGTCAGAAAAACTGGTGGTAAGACCCTTGTTGCCTCCAATATAGTTTCATTTTAAAAAAAGCATTTCCTTAAAAGGAGGCAACATCTGTCTTTGCAATATCTACTCACTGGTCTTTGTTCTATATATATATGTGTATATGTATACACACACACACACACATCATTCTTCATTTTGGACATTTGTTCTGGTTTTCGAAGGCACATATCACAAACTGAAATCCTTTTCTCCAGGGCCTTGTAGTGTTCATATCTCCAGGGTAAGCTACCTGTTTTCTTCAATTTGCTACTATGACATGATTAGAGCACTTCTCTTGATTCGCTCTGTGGCCTTCCTAAGGATTCTGTTAGGAATGAAACAGTCCTAGGTGAGGGCCTATCAGATAGAACCAGATTCACTGTAACAAGCTTCGTAACAGATAGACCTCTCTGTCAGTTCTATGAAAGGGGTTAGTCTGGGTTGCAATCTCATGAACTACTAATGTGGCAACTGTAGTCAAATGCACTGGGTTTTAGTTAATGTAGCTAAAGCCTTTCTTGTACTTAACCCCACTGATTTCAATATCTACATGTGGAACTTTAAATGTTTTCTACAACAGTCCCTCTTTCATTCAAAATATTTATAGTGCTATTTTCTACACTTGGTACACAAAGGGAGACAAACTATACCTAATTCCGAATCTTGGAGTTTAAATAGCATGGGAGAAGAAACATAAACACTACTCACAGATGACTTATAAAAATAATTTCAGCTGTCTGAGTTCTCAAAATCACTGGTCATATCCTTTTCATCAGTGGCTCTGTGATGTTCCTACCTGAGCCTCTGTGAACTCCCTGTGTAAGCACAGGTTCCTCTCCAGGCACCCCTTTTCTCTTCATCACCCAGATTGCACTGTCAGCTTCAGTCCTGGCAGCCTGCCACTCTTCCTAGATCGCCTTTTCCTTTTAGAATTTCAGGTCACCAAAAACATGCCTGTAAGTTTCTATAGACCTTGTGAAATCTGTCTTCCTGCAGTTGAGACAGACTAGACTCTGTTTTCCTGTCACCCCCATCCTCTCTCCACTGCCCTGAACTCTGGAGACAATGCACTTACCAGGGATTACATAACTTCCTCTTGGCCAGCCAGTTCTCCTTCCCTGGAATCCATTTCCCCCCTCTACAAAATTTTACACTGGAATTTCACCTTCTGCCAAAATGTTTTCTTGTTGATCAAATTGTAGGTAGAGTTTTAAGAAAGGTTAAGTTCTTTCAGATATTTTTCTGTGTGTTTAATATCAAAACAGGAATTTAATTATTAGAATTGAAATTTAGTTTATATTACAGCATTCAGAGTTTCAATGCATACTTCCTTGAAAACGTTTACCAAAAACAGGGTTTGTGTTGTTCACCTTGGTTTTCCAAGCAGTACTTAACTAGGTACAAACTGTTTACTAAAATGAGATGAAGCAAAAGGTGTTTTTTTAAAAAAAAATGTTAATTTTCACATGCCAGGATTCTTCCTAGGCATTTTCATTTCTACAAACAAGAAAACCGAAGCTTAGAAAAGATTAAACCTAAGGCCACAGAACTAGTCAGGTCTGATTATGATTACCTCATTCTGAACAGCTTCGGGATATAACTGCTAAGAGGCTGCTGTAAAGAAATAAGTAAGGAATGTGGTGAGAATTCCTGGAGCGCATTCCTCCCCTCCCGTCCTACCTTTTTATGATGGACTCTCAGATTAAGCTCTTTCGAGCAGCTGATATCCAGGAAAGAGTCAATAACAAGTAGCATTGCTAACATACTCTGCTATCACAAACAAACGAAATCCACCTAGTATTCCTTACAAGGTTCCAGCAATAGTCTTAAATGACTCGCCTAGGGTATTTAAATGCAGTTAGTTACTTCACAGTCTTCGACCATACATTCCATTTCCTATCTACATGATCATTCTATGCTTCTAAATCAGGAGTGACTAACTGGTAGCTGTCCAGATCTGACTCGGCTTTATTCGGCTATTTCCCTCTCTTGTTGAGTGTTACAAAAGGCTGCCTAGGGAGGCAAGTGCTGTGCTCTCTTGGTCTGTTAAGTTCCCTGCAGGTCCTTGTAGGCAAATTACTTTAATACCCCCAACTTAGTCTTTGGTTGAAAAGGAAAACATTTCAGGATCTTTCAGTCTTTTCTCACTATGGAATGAGGGACTGCCACAATTTCTCTGTCACATGCGCAGGGCAATCTGTGTCAGAATGAACGAGTGCCATGAGGGGGAGTCACAATAAGAAGGTGGGCAGCGGCCAACGGAGAGCCCAGCTGGCCCTGACTTTATGTGAGGGAAGTTGACACTCATTTTTGAAAAATATGAGCTTCCATTTCTATATTTCCATAACAACCTTTGTAAGAAAGATGATTTTATAGTTTAGTTATTTAACATAATAAATGGAACAAAGCTTTAACATAAACTGCAGTCACAGGCAAAGTGCTACATACATAAAGTGTAATATAGATATGCAAAAATGGTCTAAAGTAGAATAAAGGTAAAGTTTCTCATAATGTTTAAGAGTAAATAATTTATTATTTACACTGAGAGTTAAATTAACTATTATTAAAAAAGCATATGACTCATTGTTTGAATTTATATTGTAGGAAGAATCTGAAGACAGAAAAGCTACACACAAGGAATATGTCATTTATCACCTTCACTTTTTGATGCCTACGGAAGGCAATGCGAAATCACGCCATAACGATGACAACTACTTCAGACAGCAGCAGGCTTTCCTTCTCCCAGGAATTTCACGTAACAGCTAATCACACTGTCCAATCACCAGGCATTTCTGAAGCATCAAATGATACTAATTGCATCATGGATGAAAACTCATTTTCCAATGTGTTAACAACGTCCTACTCTATCATTTTCATTGTGGGGCTGGTTGGTAACGTAATCGCCCTCTATGTATTTCTGTGTATCCACCGCAAAAGAAATTCGATTCAGATTTACCTACTTAACGTAGCCATTGCAGACCTCTTACTTATATTCTGCCTTCCCTTCCGAATAATGCATCACATCAACCAAAACAAGTGGACACTCGGTATTATTCTTTGCAAGGCTGTGGGAATACTCTTCTATATGAACATGTACATTAGCATTGTTTTGCTTGGATTAATCAGTTTGGATCGCTATATAAAAATTAATCGTTCTATACAACAACGGAAAGCAACAGCAAAGAAACAAAGTATTATTGTTTGCTGTGCAGTCTGGACAACTGCTCTGACTGGATTTTTAGCGATGACGGTTTCAGCACTCAAGAAAGAAGAGCAGAGTCCCACAATGTGTTTTCATTATAGACATAAGCTTAATAATATAGCAGAAGCAATTATTAACCTAATTTTTGTAGTAGTCTTCTGGCTAATTTTCCTCCTAATAATCCTTTCATATTTAAAAATTAGCAGGAATCTACTGAAGATTTCTAAAAGGAGGTCAAAATTTCCTAATTCAAGTAAATATGCCACTATAGCCCGGAATTCCCTTATTGTACTTATCATTTTTGCTGTATGTTTTGTCCCTTATCATGTTTTTCGAGTTTTCTATATTTTGTCACAGCTGAAGGAAAAACAGCCTTGCAGTTGGAAAAAATTTTTTCACAAAACTAATGAGATCATGCTGGTTCTCTCAGCTTTAAATAGCTGTTTCGATCCTGTCATGTATTTCCTGATGTCCAGTAACATCCGCAAAATAATGTGCAAAATCCTTTCTAGGCGATTTCAGGGTGAAGCAAGCAGGAGTGAAAGCACTTCTGAATATAAGCCAGGCTACACCTTGCATGATACATCTGCCTCAAATAAAATTCAGTATACTTCTTAAAGCACTTGAGGTGAACATATTGAAGCAAATGATAAAAAATACAACCTCTTAATTCCTTGAAGAACTAAAAGTTATAAAAGACAGCTCTAGAATTTACCATCTGGTCATTTCAAAGCTCTTTGCTTATTTGTGATATGTCATTTCCTTAATTGTGAAATATTTGCAAAGCTTACATTCATCATTATAGATTTTTTGATCCATTCTAAATTCATTGTTAAGCTAATCTCTTAACAGAATAAGTAAAGAAAATGTCATAGTTTCTCTAGTCACAATAAGGTCTAGCATCTTATTCTAACTTAAAGTGTCTTTAAAAGTAAATTAAATGATTTGAGGACTGACTTAACATGTTAGGAAATATATATTCATTGCTATTTTAAAAACTATAACTTGCCACTGTATTAACTTATGCCTAAACCTCTGTAACAGATGAAATGATAATAAAATTCTTATAAAATGCAATCTCCCTTTATTTATCATTGCTTAGATAAAAATGGAAAGGATTTAAAATACTGCACACTAAAATGAAACAACAGATGAGCTAAGAGTTCAACAGCCTAGCCACAGGACTTAAAATTGCACCTTACTGAGAACAAGTTTATAAACAACTCTGGATGACATTTGAATGAGGACAACTGAGATGTGCACACTCTGTAAGACAGCAAGTTGATGTTCAGGCATAATTCTCACAGAGCCACTCAAATACATATGCAAGAAAACATGTATAATGATGCTGTTGCTTATAACAACAATTACCAACAACCTAAGTAAGTATGCACCAGGAAAGGAATGGAGCAATAAACTGAAGCTTGTTTCCACAGTGGAGTAGCGCATAGCACTTCAATGAAATGAACCTTATTTAAACACATAATTTTGTAGAATTATCAAAAATAATATATTTTTTTAAAACTTGGTTTTTTGAATTTTAAAGACCTTCATTTTTTAAAAAAAGATTTATTTTATTTATGCATACAGAACTGAGGTACAGGCCAGGGTACCGGGGGTGATATGATTCACCAGAGACAGAGTGGGGAGCAGAGCAGGCAGACTGACACAGTACACTGCTGAGGGGAGCAGCGGGTGAGACAGAAACAGAAGTCTACTGCACCTTGTGGATCACCTCCCAGGCCAGGGATCAGACTCGGAAGTGGCTATGGCTATCTCTGTAGTGCTGTGCTTTAATCTGTTGTGACACCTGGGAGAGCCCTCTCAAAATTACATTGAGTAAAAAACAAAAAACAAAACTGCAAAAAGGTATGTAGCATATGAAATCAGTTTTGTAAATGATAAAAACATAAAATGATACCATATTTTATTTCATATAAAATATTAGGGTTGAAATAAAAATACAAATTAAGCATGGTAATATATACAACATATACCAGTGTAAAATTAATGGTTAAGTCTGAAGATATGTGATGCAAACCTGATAAAATATTAGTGTCTATAAAAATCTATGTGGTAGTTCAAAAGTTTTATTATTTTTGGTATTTCTGACTATTTGAAATATTTTAAAACAGTGAAGAAAATCTGTGGGTTACAGAATATCTTGAATTTTTTATGTAAGCTTAAAAATGGTTGGACAGTAAACCCCTGAATTTGGAGTATTTTCTTGACACACAGGAGATATTGATAAATATTTGTTGAATAACTGAATGAGTGAATTAATGGATGGATGAAAGAGCAAGGAGGAAGGATGGGAAGGTGTGCTGAAACAATTTAAAAGGTGAGTGTATTTCAAATCTTTTCCTAGAAATCTATCTGGATATAGCTTTATAGTAAATCATATAGTTGTAATTAAGGGATTTGTCATTAAAAAAACAATCATTCTTTCCATGGGAATTACAACCGAGATCTCTAAAGACACAAAATTATGTAAAAATAAACAATGATGTAATAAAAAATTAAAACAAAAAACAAACAAACAAAATCATTCCCAAAAGTATAGCTAGCATTAGTTCAGTTATTTGGTCACACAGAAAATCAGAATGCAGTTGACCGAGTAGGAAAAACTTGTTATGACCAAGCCCAAGGACTCATTCGTCAGTTTCTCTCATAGAGTATGAGAATTTTGTGTGTGTGTTTTGCATAGAAGAACTGGTGTGTAGGCCAGATGTGTGGAGGGAGGGAAGTGTGTGTGAGAGGATTCATCAGAGTCAGAGTAGGGAACACAATGGGCAGACTGACTGAAATAATACTGCCGAGGGGAGCAGCTGGGAAGGCAGAAGAGGTGTGCTGCACCATGTGGGTCAGCTCCTTAGCTGGGGATTGAACTCAGGCCACAGTGGTGACAGTGATGAGACTTACTCCCTAGGCCACCAGGGTCCCCTGGTATGAGAAATTTTTATAGTTTGAATACACCTGGAAACTTCGGGTAGACCATTGTCTGAGAAATCAGTATTAAAGAACATGAAGAATTTTATTAGGGTTGAATTCATTTTAATGAATTTTAGCTTGCTATAGTCAGTACTCAGCTGTATTTCAGTAAGTGTACACAATTGGTTGACTAAAGAATAGATGAAAGCAGAATTATATTAGGTGACAAGAAATATTTGAGAATAAAGTTTGGAATTCACAGAAAAATTAGAGATTTGGAAAAAAGGAATAAAATTTATATTAATTACTTTGCCCTCACTATGTTAATACTAACCAACTAAAATTCAGTATTTTGTATTCAAATATTGATTTCTCCCTCATGTTCTGAGCATGAAAAAAAATACATTACTGTGAAACCTTTTATATCACTATATATCTCTGTAGAGAACATACAGCTTGAATGGTTAATTATTTAATAATATTAATTTAATGGAGCATTGAAAGAAACAAATACACTCATGGTTGTATAAGTGTCTCATTTTTTGTGGTAAATAAGATGAACTTTATAAAATCCAGCACAATGGTTTTTTTAAACACACACACACAAAATACCTCTAAAAGCAAAAAACAGGCTTCCCTGGTGGCTCAAGGGGTTAAGCCTCAGCACTATGAGACTACTGGCAGGCATTGCAGCTAGAGTTGCATCCCTGGCCAGGGCACAGCAGACCTTGCTGCTCCCCTCAGCAGTGTATTTCAGTCAACTTGCCTGTTGTGTTTCCCACAGTCATCGGTGAATCCTCTAAACACGCTTTCCCTCCTGAAAAGCACCTTCCTCCCCTTTGCACCTCTGGCTATGTACTCAAGCTCTTCTATGCATAAATAAATAAAATAAATCATTTTTTAAAAAGCAAAAAGCAATGTAAAACTATGTTAACTCAATAAAAAAAATCGGGAAAAAAACACTAATTTGATCCTTGCTTTAGTATTTGTACTAAAATAAAATTTGGTAAAAGTCAACCTGTCTATGAGCTCATAGTGGATTTTTGTTTACCAACATAAGTTTCACTAGTAACAGGCCTTAGAGTAACCTGAAAATCTGAGAATATTTCTAAATTCTTAGAGAAACATGTTATAGACTTACCAAATCTAACGCTCTTTATTATACAGAACCTTTCATTTCTTACTGAGCACTAATGTATACAAGCAGGAAAAAATGTTCCTATGTCCCCGAACCAAAGGTTTAACTCTGAAGCATAAAGAAAAAGGAAATTCACAAGTTTATACATATCCTCATCTTGCAAAAGCTCTTCAGAACTAGTTTCTAATAACATCTCACATATGCAAAACCCAAACAAAACAAAACAAAACAAAAAACCTGCCAGGCTGTTAAAATGAGAACAAAATGCTAGCATTTTGTTAGGTTTGGAGAAGTATTCTGTGTGAAGTCAGGTTTGATGGTGGCTGAATTTCTAAGAGCAGGTCAATAGAAAAAGTAAATTCTGTTCTAGTACAGGTTTTATTTTCACCTTCTTTTTAAAATGAATTTGTCACTCCTGCTGATACAAAAGTAGAACTAATATAATTACAATTCTTTGAAGGAAAGCCCTACTGAAAGTTATCCACAAGAGGAAAAACATGAAAGAGTTCTCTCAACAGGCAACCTGGGTTTTGCAGAAACATGTTAATGGGCTAATTATTTTTCAGGTGTTCAAATATGAATGGAAACTTGTTTCACCAGATATAAAACTATATTCTTAGTGTCAATATGGAAAACCTGTGGAGCAAATGTAAGGATAAACTTGTCAACGGAACAAAATACACATCTCTAAGCAGAATCTCCACCACAGATAAGCAAATAATATGACAAAATAAAGGTTCTCAGGGGTAGGAGCAGAAACAAATCGGAGGGAAACAAAATTCTGTTAAACAAGACATTTTCAAATGTTGGATATTTGGAGTAAATGAATTTTTAAAGAGCACCCAAGAGACTCTGATAAAACTCTCCTCCCTTAGAGAAAACTTCTGCAAATCAAGAGGAACATTATGAAAAACTTTTGGGAAGGAAGGGGTGAATTAATAAATAGTGCCATGCTTCTTTAAAACAGAAACTCAAATTTATAGCCTCAAGATATATCATACCTCAAGAAATTCTAAGAGCATCAAACCTCTAAAAGAATGGAAAACACTTAAGTGACTAACACATTTATGGATGGAAAAAGAAATTTATAAAACAACAGAAATTACCATAGGAATAAACTCATAGATTTGGCTAAAAAGCTAGGTTCTTTTTTCACAAAACCTTAAGCAAAAATAAAAGCAAAAGCATCAAGTGGGAAAAATATTCACAACAAATATTTTGTTTGCTGGAGAGCTTTTTACATTTAGGCACTAAGAGTTAATACACATTTAAAAAAAAGACTTACATTTTTTATTAGAAGAAAGCATTTGAAACTCAGAATGTAATCTGAATGTGTCAACTCAGATAAGAAAAAAACTCAGGCAGTCTCTCATGTTTGGATGGTGCAGCCTTTTTTCATAGCTACATGGCTCAGCTGAGAACACGTGTCTGTAAGTGGGGCTGCAGAGCCCCAGGTTCTGAATGGTTTTCAGATGAAGATGTGGAGGGTTGGCTGGGTGGTGGGACAATGGGCTCAGGGCTGGAAAGGACATGAGACGTTTGTCCCAAACATCTATTTTGCCTCTTATTTCTCCCTCCCTTTCAAGTTCACAAGCAAGGGAATGGGAAGCAAAGTAAAATATATTTATTTATGTGTCGGTACTGTGCCAGGTGTCTGACACACACTTCCATCAGCTCTTCGCTGTGTTGTGATGTATTCACCCACTGTACTGTACATATGAGGGGATGCACCATGGCAGCCTTATATTTCATAGACATTGTCTCTGCTTACACAATACTTTTTTTTTGGTTTTATTCTGCTGAGGCACAATTCTCATTGTTGAGATGTGGTTTGTTCTAAAAAACATAAATTGGCATACTTGGGGGAAA